CACAAAACGTGTCGCAAATACCTTGGAGTTTGAGTCCAATACTTTTCAGTGACTTTTCAACGGCTTCGCTCTCATTCTTCCGCATAAAGCCGTTGTCGATGTGAACAGCGACCACCTGTTCCTCCTTCAATGCCTTACGTAGTAATGCCGCGCAAACGGTTGAGTCCACACCTCCGCTCACAAACATCTGTGTGCATTCAATTTGGTTTTAATATACCGTTAATTACTTCAATGAAAGCAAAGTTTAAAACTCAACACTAACTAAGACTTTGTTGTTGCCGACAGCTTTGCGCACGTATTCAATGCACTCCATCTCACGCGAAGCCATCGTGAAAGTGCCGCTCAATCCTGAGATGTCTATTAAGAAATTCTTCAGCATTTGTTTGCCATTTGTCGTCAGATCTACTTCGGGATGGAATTGCATTCCATATAACCTCAGCTTCTCGTTGGCGATCGCTATTCATATGGTTTGATAAAATCAATTACTTTCGTGTGAATCATGAAATCAGTACACTAAATACGCAAGTAGTGTTGATTGGCTGTTATTCTGAGCTGAAGGGTTACCAAAATTTGGGTAGGCGCTGGACTAAGTGTCTTAGCGGCACTCAATTCTCGTGGAGAACCAACCCGAGATTTTTTCTATAGTTTCATAGAATTGGCATTAAATTCACTCCACATATGAGAAGCACTCACCTGAAGAGGGGTGAAGTGGTGTCTACACTGATAGTGAACTGTCCGTCTTCACGGTTGTCTTTCCTCTGAACAGTTCCTCCGAACTCTTTGTTAAGCATTTGCATCCCATAACAGATGCCCAGAACTGGTAGACCTATCTTGAAGATCTCGGGATCGTATGGCAGGGCATCGGTGGCGTAGACACTGCCCGGACCTCCAGATATAATGATGGCTCTGTTGGCAGTAATATGTGTTAAGATAATGTCGTATATGTCTTAAGCGATGCATTACTTATATCCATCTGAGAGGAGCTTTTGTGCGGAAGTGTTGAGCGGAAGTATCTGTGACTCGACGCTGAGTTCGCGTACTCTTCGGTCAATACACTTCCCATATTGTGCTCCGCAGTCAAGGATTGCCACTCTTTCCGAGTGAAGCAAACCGTTTATGACATGACTATCACTGTTCTGGTCATACATTTTCTGTGTCCTCACGAGTGGTGAAAATATCTGCAACGATAGAGCAATGGCTGTGTTCAGTGATCTGTGGATCTAATTGTCTGAAAGCAATTCACGTCTCAATTGATATATCATTGAAATGAGTGTCCATTCAATACCCTCTTAAGTGATGTCTGCTAATGGCAAAGACTACACACAATATATTCATTCAAATATAACATAACATAAATAAATTAAAACTTATATACAATTCAATGAAATACACATTCAATTAAACTCTTCATAAAACTAAATATAATCAAAGATTAGTCAATAAATACATACAAAATATTAATTCAGACATGTTTTAGACATTTAACACNTAAATTAATTAAAACTTATATACAATTCAATGAAATACACATTCAATTAAACTCTTCATAAAACTAAATATAATCAAAGATTAGTCAATAAATACATACAAAATATTAATTCAGACATGTTTTAGACATTTAACACAATATATGTCACTCATAGCCGCACTTTTGTTCCATGAAACACCACTAATCAACGCTACGATCAATACAACAATGTCTATAAAAATCTATTATATTCTGTACTTTAATAGCCGTCACAGTAGGCATGTGTTGAGGATGTGCTGCACTCGGCGTCCAATACTGTCATTAAGGGATACCTTCTCTCTCTCTCCTCATCCCTTACCTCTCCATACATTCTCATCAATTCACACAAACTTTACATTTATTGTAATCAATTTTGATACAAAACAGACAATTAAAGAGTTTTAAAGTAGAAATATGTTTGAAATAATAGCACAGAATATGCGATAATAGTTGACAATAACTTACCAATTGATAGGAATAGTGTCCAATAGTGGCAAAGTTTGTCAAACAATTGATTAATTTACAACTCGTTGAAATCAAAGTAATTTCCTATGAATTATGAGAGATGTTTACTGTAGGGTTATATAAAGACATATGCCTTTCCACTGCCTCTGATCTGTTGAGTCCTTCAATTGATTGGGAAATCCAATCACTGTCTGCTGATTGAGATAAGGAATCAATTAATTTTTGAAAACATTTTCTCATTTATTAAATTCCATTAAAATTGTCGTTTTATCGGTGAAAAGTATATAAAAATGTACAAATATTTACTCAAAAGTTTGTGTTCGGTACTCAATAGGCATTGAAATTGTGTTATTTATTGAGAATTAGAGTGAACTAAATATAAAATTCTTGTGTTTCAGAAAAGTCCGAATATTATCGCAGATTATCTCTTGTTTTCGTTTAAATATAAGATAAATATTTGATTCAATAAAATGGTTGTGAATATCGTATGACACCTTAGGCTGCGAACGAATAGTCAGTCAATTGTATAACTGTTACCAACTCTCCTATAGCTCGCAATAAAATGCAGATATTTTACAAAATAGTAGATAATTAATATCAATATTAGTTTAAAATTCAATCAATAATTTTGAAATCAATGAAAACTCATTTAAAACATTTAGCCTTCAGTGAAGTCTTAAAGTCTGACTTTTAAGCATTTCTTTGATAAATAAATTTAAACAAAATTAACAAAAAAATAGCTCGTAATCGATAACTAATTAATGAAAACGTAAAAAACTTAATTAAATAAAAGCTTATGTGAAGCAAAAGAAGATTATGTTTTGGAACCGCTTTTGTTGAGTTGAGAGGCGATCACTTCGTTTTTGACTACAAGTGAATACAGAAATCACTAAAATAAAGGCATTTGTGTGGAGAGGATGAGAGGATAAGACATACTTTGTTCGTCAGTCACTCTTTCAAACTCTTTGAGAGCGTCGGAGGCGTTGTTTTGCAGAAAATTCAATTCATCCGGTTGTAAGTCATCGCCTAATTTTCGCAGTGCTATCAATATCTCCACCTTTTGCTGGACGTACACCTCAAACGAAAGTTTGCCAATCTTTGAATCCCTTTCGATCTGTAATTATAACACAGATGAACACAAATGTGGTGCCAATGGAGTGCACGGCATACCTGAGCCAATCTGATCCTGAGTTGTCCAGGTTGGCGTTTCGCAAACAATCGGATCACTTCTGGCGTATGAAAGGCCTGACTAATAGCCGCTTGTATTGCCTGAACACAGACTCTATGTTAGAATTTTATGCAATGGATACTGTACAGTGTACTGTACATGGTCATTTATACAAACCAATTGCATTGCATTGAGCTCATCGATTAGAGTCATATTCCCGGATTTCATGGCAGATAATGATTGACTAAATTCTTCCAATTGTTCCAATGTTTCCCTTTTGGTCTCTTCATATTCATCTGAGTCTAAGTCAGCCCTATTTCATATGATATGTCAGTTATCCATGTCATACTGTATTATATGTTTATTAAATCTAATTCTTGGTAAATCTTTTGGTAAATTATTGACTAACTAACTAAAAATTAAATTCATACACCATTTCAAACAATTTAGAGAATATACAGATATTAATAGTTGACAGTTAAATACTGTAATAAATCGTATCAATCATCAGGTTGCTTCAAGGTAAGTTATGAGCATGGCCATAGTTCTACGCGCAGTTATTCCCTAATCTATACAATTAAATCAAGCACCTGTAAGTACTGTATAAGTCTAAACTTAACTGTCATACTGTAGTACCAAAGTGCATGTCAAATATTGGTGCACAGAGTTGGATACAATTACAGTATTAACAACAAAAACTATTAACCTTATAATATTAAAACTAATATTGAATACTAATCTTAATTTTAATGTAGTTACTTATTATTGTGATTACGTTAACTGCATACAAAGTTAACAGTTCTAATCAGGGTCTATCATGTTTTGTAATTTAGTCGATGCATGTGTGCTATAGTATGATCACCTAGGTAATATTTGAATAACATTTCAATAGATATTTCTACACTTAAATAAAAGTGGCATAAATGCTAATCCAAGACATGACTGTATGAACAGACAAATGAGTGAAGTGTCCATTACTTGCATTCTTCGAGATCAGCCAACTGTGCGACGAGTCGGTCCAACTGGTCCTCCAGATTGCTCAGTGGCATAAATGCTAATCCAAGACATGACTGTATGAACAGACAAATGAGTGAAGTGTCCATTACTTGCATTCTTCGAGATCAGCCAACTGTGCGACGTCAGCCAGGTTGACCAGGAGGTCTAACGAGAAGTCGACTAACCAGAGACACCACGGGGAGCTGTACAGGCTGTGGAGAAACTAGACATGGAGTGATAGTGAATTACTATTATAATTGGTGTGAAAGCGTTCAAATTGATGTCCAAGTGATGACCAACAGAGAGTCAAGTGATGAGATACTTGTAGTGATCACATGATAGGCCACAAGAAATACGTTCACTTTTGGCAAACAAATTATTGACAAAACCATTGAATCAAACGTTTTATTGAATGGATTACAAGTGAAGATCAATGCATTTGAATGCAAATCCATGTCTTCAAGTAATGGTGGATTGAATGGCAATCACATGAAAGGTTGGACACAATTTGGTGACAATTGAGCGCCAATTCATTGCCACATATTTTATGGACAAATCATTGCTTTTAATATCAAAATAAACAATACTTTGCATTCAATTCACACAACAATTGCTTTAATTGTGATTAAACTCAAGTGTATTGTCTGAACACCGATACCATGGGAGACAACGGTATGATTTGGTCACTATGTGATCAGTTAAGAGATGACATGACTTACCATTGCATGTCTTTTAGGGACTGCCGGAGACATTGTCTCTGAAAATGACTCGATTGCTGACACCAACCAATTGGACACAAATGGCACTCAAAGTACTGTCAAAACGATTGTCATTGAAATGAATGAGTGATCAGTTGAATGGTTGATATGATTACAGATGAGGGCAGTGATGAAGTGGAAGTGTCACTGGACTTGGAAGCGCTTGAGATTGAGTTGAATCACTCGAGAGTGTCATCGATGGCCGTATTGAGTGTATTGACCAAAACTGAGTGTTTGGGTCTCAGGAATAACACGATTAAGACCATCGAAGGAATCAATCAATTGCTTGGTCTCCGAGAACTCGAGTTATACGACAATCAGATCACAAGAATCGAGAATTTGGACGCTTTGGTCCACTTGGAGTCAGTTCTTGAGATTCCGATTATCTATCGATTGTATGAACTAATGGTTAGTTTTTGTATTTATTTTTTGTGACAGAGTTCTGGATCTGTCGTTCAATCGGATCCGCAAAATAGAGAATTTGGAGAATTTAGTGAATCTGAAGAAATTGTTTTTAATTAATAATAAAATCTCCAAAATCGAGAATTTATCTCAATTAGCAAATCTGGAACTCTTGGAGTTGGGATCAAATAGGATTCGTGTGATCGAGAACTTAGAGAATTTGGTTAATCTTAAGAGTCTATTCGTGGGCAAGAATAAGATCACAAAATTAGATAATTTAAATCCACTCAAGAATTTAGAGCTTTTAAGTATTCAGAGCAATAGGATCATCAAAATAGAGGGCTTGGATCAGAACCACAACTTGGATCAGTTCTACATCAGTAATAACGGCATTACTGTGATCGAAGGTCTGGACAACAATAAAAAGCTGCAGACATTGGACTTAGCGGTGAATAAGTTGAAGCGATTGGAAAACATTGAACACTTGACTCAATTGGAGGAGTTGTGGTGCAATGACAACGGAATCGACGACTGGAAAGACTTAGACGTATTGCAAAAGCTGTCGGCTTTGCGTACCGTTTACTTTGAACGCAATCCCGTCGCCAGTCATCAGATGTACAGAAAGAAAATTATGTTAATTTGTCCGCAAATCACACAAATCGATGCCACGATGTGTCGCACGTAGACATCGTTTCTATCATTTGATTGTTTCATAAAACTTTGTTTTCTTATTTGTTTTTTAACTTTTAATATTATGGTAATACCTTAATTACAGTATATTTTAAGCCATAAAGCAGTGCCTCTACATTACAATACGTTGAGTATTATTAATACTAATCAATTAACGTTAGTTTTAACTTTTATTTAAAAATAAAATGTTTTAAAATGATTAATGTATATAAACTGTAAGCGTTAATGAATTAAAAGTACATATAATTTGAACCATTATTTGAGCGAAAGTTTGATAATATGTCGGATCAATGGGGTCTCGATTTCGTGCGATATCTCAGCGGCGAACCGTCCGTCGGCTTCAACGAAGTCAATGAAACTATAGGTACCGCCGCCGACACCGAAGTAATGCGATTTGGATGCGATATAAACGGTTCCGTTTGGCGTTAAACTCGACTTAAAAACTTTGCATAACTTCTCGTAATTATCGCAATTATACAGCGTTTCCGACGTGAATATCAAATCGTATTTAACGCCCGAAGAGTCGATGTCGTCAGCGATGGCACACCAGTCGCCGTACAGATAATGAAAGTGAGAGTCTCTGTGGTGACTGTCTGCGAGATCACTGTTCAGCACCACATTAACTGCTGTGAAGTATTTGATCACATCTTCGTTGATCAGAACGTCTATCTTCACTCGGAAACCGGTGAAGAACCTCGTCATATACCTGCGGTTTGGTCTTGGCGTCGGGTTGACAGTCTGTGTGTTTGTTTAGTAAATAAAGGACGTTTAGTACAGAATTACTTTATATCATTGAGTATTACTTCCAACACATGGAGACCCTGATGATTGGCAAAGTTGTCGACAACTTTAAAATCAATAAAATAGTCGATCAGATCGTGCAGACCCTCCCATATCTTGTATCCGCCCTCGTATTCATTGGTGATTAGGTCCGTATTGCCATCGATCAGATCCACCGGTGACTTCAGCTCTTTGTCATCATTATGATTACGGATGAAGAGTTTGATGAGCTCTGGATTCGCGTATTTGATTGGTTTGACGGACAAGTCATTGAGTATTTGTAAATCACTCGTAAGACTCCTATCGCTCAGAAAAGCCTTCAAATTGTTTTCAATGCACTTATAATCCACTTTCAAATCCGGCATCTCTTTGGCACTAATCCGACACTGAATCCAATGAATCCAATGAATCCAATTCAACGATAATTTCCTTTTTGTGTCCAAAACACGTAAATAATATACAAATACTGCTCACAAACACTGTTACGTCACTTACAGGCAATTATTAGGCCCTATAATTAGTTTACATGTATTTCAATAGCAAACCACAACCCCATTGATAACGTTGTTTGCGAATCGGGGCTTAAATCACATGTTTTTGTTGGTAAACACAACTGAATGGATGGTTAAGTGATGTCTTAGATTAGACCCGATTGTGATCAAGACATGGAAGGAATGGACGATATATTGAATGCCTATGCGAATCGGGGCTTAAATCACATGTTTTTGTTGGTAAACACAACTGAATGGATGGTTAAGTGATGTCTTAGATTAGACCCGATTGTGATCAAGACATGGAAGGAATGGACGATATATTGAATGCCTTACAGAGAGTGGAGGAATGCGCTGAAGATATCCTTCGCACCAAACAAGAGATCATTGATTTGAACGCAAAGGCGAACCAAACGAGAGAAGCGTTGAATGCGCTGAAGACCTATACCACAGATGTAATCATTTGTCCATTGATTCACTCATAAGACACTCATTTGTCCATTGATTCACTCATAAGACACTCATTTTGAGTCATTTATTCATTTGTATTGTCTATTCATATATGAATTATTAGTCAAAGAAGTTGTGGTTATGTTTTGGCAACTCTTTCATCAAAACGAGTGTCGGTTCCGCCAGAAGTGTGATCACTGAAGACCAAAACCAAGTGACCAAACGGATCAATGAACTCAGGGATGAGTTGAAGCCAAAAGTGGATCAATTGAATCAATTGGAGGGCAAACCACAGCTCAAAGGATTCAATTTGAAAGCACTCGACAAACAAGAGCTCAAAGCCATGAATCAATTGCTTTGAGTCAGCGATCAATCATTTGTTTCAATAGATTTCATTATATTTATGTAAATACTTAACAAACAATTTGTAAATTATGTCAAATATTTTGTAATTCATAATTGAGTGCTAATTCATTAAAATGATAAAAGATTTCCTATTTTTGTGCCGCATTTGGGGTTCAATTTGTGTGACATTTTCTATTGGCATGTAATTTATGAAGAGTCCAAAAGTGTAAACAAAAGTCAATTTCGTGGCAAACATTTGAATAACAATTAAATGAATGAAACAATAATTAGCGAGAAATGAGTGAAACATTTGAGACATCGGTTGAGGAGAAGATCCGCAGAAGTCGTCAAATGATAGACTCATTGAATGCCAACAGTTTCGCCGACAAGTCGTGCGAAGATGTCTTTGACGACCACTTTCTGGAACCGGATTTCAATGTATTTGTGATTCTTGTCAACAGTTTCGGTGATCTCAAGGAAAACAGTTATAAACGAAACAAATTGTTGTCTTTAATCACTCGTTATGTCTATTGCGAGCACACGTTGAAGACATTGCTCACGAAGACGTGTCACATGTCCGACAATGAGCTGCGAATAATTGGTCCCAAATTGGAGACTATTTTAGTGACGATTCCGGAGATAGTGTCCAATAATTTGAAGACAAACAATAGCCACAGATTTGAGCGAAACTTGTATTTCAAACGATTGGTGCAAACGATGTGTTTGTGTTTTGAAGACGTGTTTGAGTCCATCGCTAACTCAGAGGACTCTTCGTTGCAGTTGTTGTCATCACTTTTGGGACGAATCGCTTTAATCGGTTTCACAGACATTGTGTTCAATGAACTCATGGCTAAAGTGATCGCCAAATGCGAGAAAGACTTCATTTGGCGGCGAATCGCTTATAGAGTCGTTGTTTGCCAACAAAAGTCAGAATATATTGAAGTTTTGGTCAAAAGTATCCTCTGTTTGCAAACCAATTACGAGTCCATCGTTTGGATAATCGGCTCCAGTGTTGAGACCAACAACAAAATGAAGTTCTTGTTGACCAATAAGTTTTTGCTGATCAATGAGTTTCAAAGTGATCTCATTTTGATCAATATCTTCGGCTATTTGTCCAGAAATTGTTTGCAATTATTTTTCACTGCTTTCGACAATGTGTTGAACTCTTGGAGTAACTCGAGTGCCATTAAGTATAGGAGTTATTCCCAACACTTATACCTCTCGCGGGCTCTTATGATTGGCTCGCGATTTATGAAAGACATCGACTTCAGTGAAGTGACCGATAAGTTCAGGAGACTTACGATGAATGGCATTGAACTGCACCTCAAGAACAGTCAAATGGATTTCAGAAACATTGGTCTCACTGTTGGTCAGACTCTCATGTCTTTGTTTTATCGCGAAAACAATAAAATAGATTTCGATATCGAAGAAAACGATGAAATAAAACATTTAAACGATTTGTTTCTAAACAATTGCAACGAAAAGGATGTCGATATCATTGGACACAAGATATCATCACTTAATACGAACGACACGAATGGTGAAGAGGTTTTGCCAAACGTTTCGAATGGAAAAGAAGATAAAAATCTGGACAGCGATGACGATGAAGACAGTGATCTCATTCCGTATGACATGTCGGTGTCGGGCGACACTTGCACTTCAGACGCTAAACGACCCGTTTATTTGCGGGATTGCATGGAAGGGCTGCAGGACTATGAGAAAGTGGAGTGGTTTACGACATGTCTTCGATGTGCGGAACAAGTCATTAGAAGTCATTCCGATTCAGTGGAAGAGATATCCGTAGGATTCATGCAATTACTGTTCCGATTGGACGATAACTGTGCGGTCGAGGACTTCATTGGTCTTCGACTGCGAGCCATGATTTCATTGTGTGTCTGCTCTCCTAAATCAGTGGCCGATTATCTGTGCCAACAGTTTTATGCCCCAAACTATACGATCCGTCAAAGATTAGATGTGTTAGAAGTGTTGTTGGCCTCAAGTACTGAACTCTCGTCTAATGTGAAACAAAATGTGAACAAAAGTGATGTAAAAGAGATCCCATTAACTAATTATGAAGAGAAGATTGCAGACAATCATTGGACACAAATAGTGAAGAATAGAATTGAATCCAAGACTAGAGTATTGACACATAAGACAAAACCTCTGGATGAGAAAGCATTTGTCAACCGATTCGTGCCATTCGCCGCACATTTCTTCTTCCCGTTAATGAAAAACATTTTCGGAAATGAAATAAAAGTGTATTTCTTGGAGGACGACGACTATGTGTTGGGAAGACTTCTCTATACTCTGGGATTAATCCTTAAGAACGCATCGTTTGCTCCCATCTCCTCTAAAATGGGAAAAGAGTTTCTCGAGTTTATTATGGCCTTTAGATACCATTCCTCTGTGTAAGTGATTATACGGGTTGACAACAATGAATGTAATTAAATGTATTATAACTGCTGTAATGACAGGTTTGTGAGAGAAGCGGCTATATTTGCATTTTGTATGGTTTTGATGAGTGTTCCGCCTATTTATCTGCACAATGAGATGTCTCTACAAATGGTTGAGTTACAGCTTTGGCTCAAAGGTATTTACAGTTTTTCAAACAATTCTTTGCAAATGAGTATTCATTTACAATTGTCTGCAATCGACGTATTTAGACATAACGGAAAGGGAGGCTAACAGTCAGTGCGTACAAAAGGCTTGGACTGCACTTCAATTGCTTAAAGAAGTGGTGAATGAAATGCCATTGAATTCAATGATTAACAAATAAATCAATAAATTTGTTTTGAAATATTTATTTAATGGTATAATGAATGCATTGAATGGAAGTATATCCCTTCACAATAGTTGAAAACTTTCACATGAAATGTTATATAATATAACTTATATTTATTTTACAAAATACTGATCTTTGACCTCAAGAATAAAATTACAAAAATTCTAAACTTCCAAAAAAGAGTAATAAAATATCATTGATAAGAGTTATTTGAAATGACTATGTGTTCAATTACCGGTAAATATACTTTTATATATCATTTATATTTTAGTCTTAGTTTCGTTCAAATAAAATACTTAAAAATAGTTTCAAAAACAAAAAACAGTTATAATATGTAAAGGCGTCGAACGTATTGCACAACAAAAATGAATATATTTTATCAGAAATAACAATAAGATTAGGTATTTATCCGATGGGACAGGCATTCAATGCGGACGCGAAGAGCTGCCGACCGACACACTGCGAGTGACGGCAGACCTCCTGAACTGATCCATTTGTGCCGCCAGATTAGGTGGTGGTGACAATGGACTCGACGAACGGATTCGAGGGTTTTGCAGCAATTCTTTAATTGTCTGAACGATCAAATCAATGGCAACTATTTGTATAGAGAATGCAAAGCAATCACTGATTTTAATTCATATTCATATTGAAAAGTTCGTTCAAAGTTTAATTCAAATTCATGTAAAATTCTTAAGCATAAAACAAATACAAAAAGAGATTCCCGATAATAATAATACTTAAAATACGATAAAATAATACTTAATTCAGAGATTAATAATATCATAAGAATCATAATACGGTAAGAATAATAAGAAAATCGTATATAAAAATAGCATAAATGTCATAATAAAATTTTATGAATTGAAAATTGCCTGAAAATCTATTTGATTATAAAAATATTAAAATCGGATTCGCAATTGAAAGGTAAGCCTAAAGTCTAGCCTATCGACTGACTACTAGAGTAGGGGATCGATCTCTTCGGCTTTTGACGGCATTTGTATTAGCATTTGACACGAATATCGACGCCTTATCTCCATTAGACAACCGGAGCGGACAGTAATCAAACAATTTCTCAATTCGATTCACTATCAATTCTACTGCAACTGAAAAAATAAACAAAAACTTTTACAAAACAAATCAAAACTACAATTCATGTCATTTTTGTAGAGTCGATAGTCAGTGCTTAAGAAGTGTTACTCTTTTTGTTGTATACATTAGTTTGCGTACAAAACAAGTATTGAGTAATTGATGGATAATTTAAAACAAAAAAGTGAGACAACAGTACCATTATTGTCGGCCCCGCGAGGTATTATCACATCCGCCCACTTCTTGGTCTGTGTTGGCATTGAACAAGAAATCAGTCGTTTGTGGCAAATATATCGTGCGATGACTTACGGGTTGACAAAACTCCTCAAACGATGGCTTAACAAACTTCGTGTACTGATTGAGAACTGTCTCCAAATCCCTATTCCTCTCCTTCACATCGCGTAAGACTTTATGCATTCATAAGACATAATATTTAGCATTCATTGTAATCACTGTAACAATCAATTCATACCACGTCTGGAAAGTCTTGTATCGGAATCCGTGTCCACGAATAGCTTCATATGAAAGAGATCTCGGATTTGTTTGAAATAAAACACAAGAATGCCTTCAACCAGAACCACATCCGCCGGATATACTATTTGCTCCGTTTCACCACTATTTCCATAAGAATCACAACAATTAGTAACGACAAGAATGTGGAGGAATGGTGTGTCCACTGGACTCATCACTAACACAGTGTGCTCTTTGAAGTCATACTGTCGGACGCGAACGGTTTTGCCCTCAAGAATGTCGTTCAAAGTGCTCGCCATGAGGTCCTCATCGAAAGCCGTCGGGTGATCGAAGTCGAAGTTGCCTTTGAAGGCGAGGGCCCTCTCCTCGGGAGTCAGAGACCGATAAAAGCTGTCCTGAGATATACAGACCACTCGACGCTCACGATTGGCGACACTGTCTTCGCCCAACTGTTCCATTATTTTGTCGCAAACCGTCGACTTTCCCGAAGCGGTTCCGCCTTCGAGTCCACGGATTGGTGGAGAAGATAATTATGTAAATGAATGGCAAAACACGTTATGATTGATGGGAATACCAGTGACGCCAATGAGGAATGGAGTCTTGTTTGACGGATAAGACACCACCAACTCGTCGGTCGTGTTGAGTGAAGCGGCCATTGCGTGGATCCGATGGTTGGAAGCGCTGCGAGCGATGTCTTGTGTGGCGTTCAGTGGATCACTGATTCATATCTCATAGGAATCTATGGTTTTGTTCACTATTTTCGTCTCAAATCGCTTTCAAAACAAATAACGTTTTGTTTGAAAACTTCTCAAATGTTTGTGAATGCGATCCAAAAGACACTTCTGGTTATCGATTGGATTCATATTTCATTCAATTGTCTCCTCTGTGGTGTCAATCACCACTCAATTTGTGTCTCTTTTTTGTTTGTAAAACCTGTGTTTTGTTTATATATTTAAAATTAAATATATTCATAAAATTATTACTCGTTTTAACTCTGAGATAAGCAAGGTTATTTGGGCATGATTGGTTTTGTTTGTCCATTGATTGACTTATTTGTGGTCTTGAAATCGGATAATGGAAGTCATTCTCAATGCTTTTTCAAAAGGTTTTTTTTAGTAAAGCATAACACATTTTATGGTTTTATAATAAATGTTTAGACAATAAAGTAAAGTATCCAGAATCTAGATTCTTATTTAATTCTAACTTAGCATTAAGCATTTTTTAGAGAACTTTGCATAGAATCTAATTAATAATAACTATTTTATTGTGTAAATAGTTTTATTAAAACATATTAGAGTTACAGTAAGTAATTAGTTGTATTAATATCTAAATAATGTATAATAATATACCCGAATATCTATTATTTTAGAAAGATTTCAAGAAAGACGTTTTTAGTTTTAATGTTTGATAATAATTAAGGTGGTATTGAAGTTTGAATGAACGTACATTGATAATTTAATGATACTATTAATGTTAAGTAGTTTTATTAAAATATCAATTTAATATAAATATGCATATAATTAACATTAAATTTAAAATTAACATTACACAGGACAAAATAATTTCACTAAATTAATTAATTATAGATTAAGTCTTCATTCAACACAATGTGCTGCTTATTAAACTCACTGTTAGTTTTGTTGTATTAAAAACTTTTTTAGCAATTGTTTGAATCAATTTTGATAACAACTTAATTTCAAAAATAAGCAAAAGTTAATTAAATTTCCATCTTTTCTTACAATTCATTTGAAGATTAAAAACAAAAATATTTCCCCAAAACTTCAATAATATTTTTACTTTTTATAAAAATAATTGAAAACAAAATTGTTTCTCATATATAGAAAAATTAATTATGAAGTATTATTTTAATAGGTATTGAAATTGAGTTCAAAAGCGATAATAAATATAGTAGCTGCGAGCGATGTCTTGTGTGGCGTTCAGTGGATCACTGATTCATATCTCATAGGAATCTATGGTTTTGTTCACTATTTTCGTCTCAAATCGCTTTCAAAACAAATAACGTTTTGTTTGAAAACTTTGAAAATGTTTGTGAATGCCATCCAAAAGACACTTCTGGTTATGGATTGGATTCAATTGTCTCCTCTTTGGTGTCAATCACCACTCAATTTGTGTCTCTTTTTTGTTTGTAAAACATGTGTTTTGTTTATATATTTAAAATTAAATATATTCATATAATTATTACTCGTTTAACTCTGAGATAAGCAAGGTTATTTTGGCATGATTGGTTTTGTTTGTCCATTGATTGACTTATTTGTGGTCTTGAAATCGGATAATGGAAGTCATTCTCAATGTTTTTTTTCAAAAGCTTTTTTTTAGTAAAGCATAACACATTTTATGGTTTTATAATAAATGTTTAGACAATAAAGTAAAGTAACCAGAATCTAGATTCTTATTTAATTCTAACTTAGCATTAAGCATTTTTAGAGAACTTTGCATAGAATCTAATTAATAATAACTATTTTATTATGTAAATAGTTTTATTAAAACATATTAGAGTTACAGTAAATAATTAGTTGTATTAATATCTAAATAATGTATAATAATATACCCGGATATCTATTATTTTAGAAAGATTTCAAGAAAGACGTTTTTAGTTTTAATGATAATAATTAAGTTTGAATGAACGTATATTGATAATTTAATGGTAATATTAATGTTAAGTAGTTTTATGAAAATATTAATTTAATATAAATATGCATATAATTAACATTAAATTTAAAATTAACATTAACCTAGGACAAAATAATTTCACTAAATTAATTAATTATAGATTAAGTCTCCTTTCAACACAATGTGCTGCTTATTAAACTCACTGTTAGTTTTGTTGTATTAAAAACTTTTTTAGCAATTGTTTGAATCAATTTTGATAACAACTTAAAACTTAATTTCAAAAATAAGCAAAAGTTAATTAAATTTTCATCTTTTCTTACAATTCATTTGAAGATTAAAAACAAAATTATTTCCCAAAAACTTGAATAATATTTTTACTTTTTATAAAAATAATTGAAAACAAAATTGTTTCTCATATATAGAAAAATTAATTATGAAGTATTATTTTAATAGGTATTGAAATTGAGTTCAAAAGCGATAATAAATATAGTGAACGGCAGTAATATAATTGATTCGCTGTGTGTGCCAACACATACCGGTGCCCAATGAACTGTTAGGGCGTCTCCAATGCATTCACCGCCAGATCTATAGAATTGCTTTATTGGAGAGAACTGTTGGGCCGACGACTATATTGTGTGCAAAAATACTTTGCATTAAAATAATACCTGTGCTGTACTTTTGGGCACTCATATCGCAATGAATGCGAAAAACTTGCAAAACTTGCAAAACTTTTCTTGATTTTTGTTCATTTTTTCATCGATTTTAAGGTAAGAATCAAAATGTTTGATAAATATTCATATCATTTGTTCTTTCAATTCAAATGAGTTTTGTTTGTTGTGTCCCTCGAAAACCCCAATTCCTAAACCTGTAATCAAATGAATTAATGATGAAATGTTTGCGTGAATTGGGTTTGGTATACAATTTCGATACTCTATTTTATTGACATCTATTTAAAGTTTCCGATCCATTAGGTTTGATAATTGCATGCTATCTACTCAATGGATGTCACAATTTGTATGATTTGTATTTATGAATAGATACCACATCTTCACAGTCTCTCACAGTCTCTCTTAGTCTCTCTCTCTCTCTCTCTCTCCTCATTAAAAAAACTTTTTTAGATTAAAGTCAATTTTAGACAATATTTTAAAGAAATATTTTTTATTCTGATATTATGCTGGTATGCAAAGTTTATGACAATTTACTAATTTCATGATCTTAATATGATTGCAACCTGCAATTTCAATGTGTATGGTACTAACTTAATATGATAGTAATGCAATGCATAGTTTACTTAATAGTCAATAATCAATATTAATCAGTTTCCAATAGTAATCAAACACTAAAATTGACTTTCTAACTACTGATTTCTAATTAAACTTGGCTAATATAATATTAACTTATTTATGCTTTTCTGTATACGTATAATAACAGTTAGAGTAGAGCACACATATTAACGTTAGTAAAACTTCAAATGAAAAAGTTTGCAATACTTTTATTAACATGAGACTAGACAATTGATGTACTTGATTGAAAATGATCTTTTAAAATATTATTTTGGTTAATGATTATCAACTCATTCAGTAATGTTTAACTGAATATATTGCAAATCAATTGTTTTCCTATTTGAGAGCAATATTTTTGTTCAAAATAAGTACAAATGAAAGGAGAGATCAAATCTTTGAGATATAGCGGATTGCGAGCACAGGAACAGTATGTCTGTACGTCTACTGCCATATCAGTGATCAGTTGGAAATATGAATGCCCGGCATTTGTGCCACTCTTTTATTCTTGGAGTCGGTGTTGAGAATAGGTCTGAGAAGTGGATATGCGATGCAATTATCTGTGTGTGTGTTTGTATTGTGTATTATACTATCGGTTATGTGTTTCGTATATACAGTATGTCTTTCCCATTCAATGGACATCCACTCCTGTCCCACACAAAAGAACTCAGGGCTTGAGATCGCGTTACCTTTTCTACCAAAAAGTGTCCCCTCTTTATAGCGCCACTCAATACACGTATTCATAACTCTCTTCAATAGTTTACTTTATACTCATTGCAAACAATGAATACTTTGAAATACTTTACTTAAATCATCCGATATTTCATACTTTCCATCAAATTTGGGGTTATTTGTGAAAAATAATCTGTTTGAATAGAAATTTTCATATGAATTACCACATTTCACTCTGGTTAGTTATATAGTCTCATAATTTATACCATAAACATCAAGAATAAATTATTAAAAACAAAATTCTTGTTAATTAAAGAGTTGAGAACATAAGGAATTCCTATTAAAATATTCAATTCATACTGTAATACAAAGCCAATAGTACTGATAGAGAGGGGCGGCTGTATTGAGTCGATTAAGGCGTTCAAAACAGTCTCGCATATGACGGCAATGGGATTAACCACTACTCGATTATACGCCTAAATCGACAATACTTTACATTCTGTTAATAGTATACAAATACAATCCGATAAACAACAGTTGCTATAGAATATCCTTCATTTACATTAAATGTTCAAATTTTGAATATTATTTAACAAAAGTTATAATTTTATTATAAAGTTTGAATATTAAAATAACAACTTTATATTAAATAAATTCCAATTTATTTTTATTAATTTTAAACAACTAAAACTTTAATATTTTTAAATGTGGAATTTAGTTTATACATTATAATATTAGATTATGTAAAATAAAATATTTTTTATATATTTGAAGTGATTCAGAAAATTTTTGTTACTTATAATATATTTTCTGTTAATTTAAAGTGAAATGAGTTAGAGTTATATTTTAATGTCAAATCAATTGAAATAATGGATTAAAACAATAATCGGTTTACAAATGGAGGTCATATATGAGAGATGAAATTAAATTACAATAATATAAATATAATGTTGTAAATGAAGTTAAATATCCCGAGTTTATAATGTTTGCAATATAGGTTTAAATACTGTTAATTTTCTGTTATACTGTAAGAAAGTTATAATTCATTAAAGTTAAAACTACTTAAATAATTTTGAATTTTTCATCATATAAAATAAATATATTAAAACAAATTTCAATTTAAATCAAATGAATTTTAATTACTTTAAAAATTTATTACTCGAAAGGATTATAATTATAATAAAAAC